GGCCCTGCTAGTCGCTAGGCTACAGACGGCATTGCTCTCTTGACAGACATTCGCGGGCCAGATTCGGCTCGCGGGCCGCCAGTTGAATATCCCTTCTTCAAGACAACTGTTACCAAGGGAAAACATCACGTTTGATTGTTTGGAAACGGATGATGTGAGTGCGCTGCAGCAGCATTTATTCCCACACCTGTGCAAGCAAACACGTCTGACATGCTGTGGGATGTGAAAATGTAAGACAATTCAGGTAACAAGTTTACACAGGTAGACTACTGCCACCTGACTGCTATTACGTCATGCTTTGAAGTGCATCCTTTTACTGCAGCACCGACGATTCTATTATCAGTCAGGCAATTTGCATACCCACATGCTTACGTGTATAGTTTTTTTTTTTTTTTATTTATTGTTTAAACCCATGACAGTAACGCTTTTCTGTTGCACATTGTCTAACGTAGAGTACACGTCCTGAGACATGGGGTGTGTAAAAGAATTCGACTTCTTTCTATTTCCTCGTCTTATTCTTCTTTTTCGTTTTTTTCTACTCCCCCCCCCCCCCCCCCCCCCCCCCCACACACTTTGCTGCCGGGGCTGTTCCTTCTCCTGATCTTTTTCTTCTCCCTCTGCCTCAACTACTATTACTGCTGCTGCTGCTACTACTACTACTTCTTCTCCCCCTCCTTTATCTTCTTCTTCTAGTTTGCCTCATACACAATATATATGCACCTCCAGTCTCTTCTGAATGTGTTTATTCACTGTGATTTATTAGAATATTAGAATAGCCAAAAAAATCACAGCATGTCTTATATTTATCATTTTTACACCTATCTTTGATCTGTACATTGAAATGGCCAGGTATGTTCGCAGAACTCAAGATCATCAGTTACTTTGTATTTTTATTTTTTTTTAAATGTGATGCAGGTTTCTAAATGTTTATAATTAGTTAGTAGTTCCCTTTTTTTTTCCTTAAGGGATTTTTGTCTTGTGAGTTAATTGATGTCTGTCTGTCTGCCTGCCTGGCTGTCTGTCAGTCTAGCAACCAACCTACCTAAACATCCATGCTCCACCTATCTATCTATCTATCTATCTATCTATCTATCTATCTATCTATCTATCTATCTATCTATCTATCTATCTATCTATCTATCTATCTATCTATCTATCTATCTATCTATCTATCTATCTATCTATCTATCTATCTATCTATCTATCTATCTATCTATCTATCTATCTATCTATCTATCTATCTATCTATCTATCTATCTATCTATCTATCTATCTATCTATCTATCTATCTATCTATCTATCTATCTATCTATCTATCTATCTATCTATCTATCTATCTATCTATCTATCTATCTATCTATCTATCTATCTATCTATCTATCTATCTATCTATCTATCTATCTATCTATCTATCTATCTATCTATCTATCTATCTATCTATCTATCTATCTATCTATCTATCTATCTATCTATCTATCTATCTATCTATCTATCTATCTATCTATCTATCTATCTATCTATCTATCTATCTATCTATCTATCTATCTATCTATCTATCTATCTATCTATCTATCTATCTATCTATCTATCTATCTATCTATCTATCTATCTATCTATCTATCTATCTATCTATCTATCTATCTTTCTATCTATCTATCTATCTATCTATCTATCTATCTATCTATCTATCTATCTATCTATCTATCTATCTATCTATCTATCTATCTATCTATCTATCTATCTATCTATCTATCTATCTATCTATCTATCTATCTATCTATCTATCTATCTATCTATCTATCTATCTATCTATCTATCTATCTATCTATCTATCTATCTATCTATCTATCTATCTATCTATCTATCTATCTATCTATCTATCTATCTATCTATCTATCTATCTATCTATCTATCTATCTATCTATCTATCTATCTATCTATCTATCTATCTATCTATCTATCTATCTATCTATCTATCTATCTATCTATCTATCTATCTATCTATCTATCTATCTATCTATCTATCTATCTATCTATCTATCTATCTATCCATCCATCCATCCATCCATCCATCCATCCATCCATCCATCCATCCATCCATCCATCCATCCATCCATCCATCCATCCATCCATCCATCCATCCATCCATCCATCCATCCATCCATCCATCCATCCATCCATCCATCCATCCATCCATCCATCCATCCATCCATCCATCCATCCATCCATCCATCCAGCTAGCTGTCTGTCTGTCTGTCTGTCTGTCTGTCTGTCTGTCTGTCTGTCTGTCTGTCTGTCTGTCTGTCTGTCTGTCTAATCTATCTATCTATCTATCTATCTATCTATCTATCTATCTATCTATCTATCTATCTATCTATCTATCTATCTATCTATCTATCTATCTATCTATCTATCTATCTATCTATCTATCTATCTATCTATCTATCTATCTATCTATCTATCTATCTATCTATCTATCTATCTATCTATCTATCTATCTATCTATCTATCTATCTATCTATCTATCTATCTATCTATCTATCTATCTGTCTGTCTGTCTGTCTGTCTGTCTGTCTGTCTGTCTGTCTGTCTGTCTGTCTGTCTGTCTGTCTGTCTGTCTGTCTGTCTGTCTGTCTGTCTGTCTGTCTGTCTGTCTGTCTGTCTGTCTGTCTGTCTGTCTGTCTGTCTGTCTGTCTGTCTGTCTGTCTGTCTGTCTGTCTGTCTGTCTGTCTGTCTGTCTGTCTGTCTGTCTGTCTGTCTGTCTGTCTGTCTGTCTGTCTGTCTGTCTGTCTGTCTGTCTAATCTATCTATCTGTCTAATCTATCTATCTATCTATCTATCTATCTATCTATCTATCTATCTATCTATCTATCTATCTATCTATCTATCTATCTATCTATCTATCTATCTATCTATCTATCTATCTATCTATCTATCTATCTATCTATCTATCTATCTATCTATCTATCTATCTATCTATCTATCTATCTATCTATCTATCTATCTATCTATCTATCTATCTATCTATCTATCTATCTATCTATCTATCTATCTATCTATCTATCTATCTATCTATCTATCTATCTATCTATCTATCTATCTATCTATCTATCTATCTATCTATCTGTCTGTCTGTCTGTCTGTCTGTCTGTCTGTCTGTCTGTCTGTCTGTCTGTCTGTCTGTCTGTCTGTCTGTCTGTCTGTCTGTCTGTCTGTCTGTCTGTCTGTCTGTCTGTCTGTCTGTCTGTCTGTCTGTCTGTCTGTCCGTCCGTCCGTCCGTCCGTCCGTCCGTCCGTCCGTCCGTCCGTCCGTCCGTCCGTCCGTCCGTCCGTCCGTCCGTCCGTCCGTCCGTCCGTCCGTCCGTCCGTCCGTCCGTCCGTCCGTCCGTCCGTTTGTCTGTCTGTCTGTCTGTCTGTCTGTCTGTCTGTCTGTCTGTCTGTCTATTGTTATGTTTATTAGTACGTCCATCTGCCTGGCTGTCTGTCCGTCTGCCCATCGATCTGTATTCTTTATGTCTACTTACCTACCTACTTTCTTGCCTACTTATCTACCTTACTAACAATAAAGTCCTCTACACTTTATACTTTATACTCATAATATCCTGGGAAGCCTTAGAATATATAATACTCGACTCAACTTGCTCCAAATATAAGCCACTATCATTGTACAATTGAATTATTTGTGGTGTATACACATACCCACAGAGATAAACACATACATATATGTCAAATGTGGGTGCACCACGGCTTTACTTTGTCCAGTAACTATGCGATAAACTATACATACAAAAAACAAGTTGATAAAAATGTCATTTTGAAAACCTCTCCAATAAAATATAATTTTTTTTTTAAAATCTTTTCAGTGAATTGTGTAATGTAATACAATTTTTTTTTTTTTTAAATACATATTAAAATGTTATTTTATGCAAAGCGTTCCGCGTCACCCCCCCCCCCCCCCCCCCTTTCCCCCCTCCACCCTTTTTTTTAATTTTTTTTATTTTTTTTTTCTCATTCTCGCTTTAGCGTTGTTGAAGTCCTCATGAAAAACCCCTCACTTTGAAAAGAATATTGCCATTCTTATATCCAGATGCGAAATATGGATAGTCCCATGATTATGAACACGCTCTATCTCCAAGAAGATATGATAGCTACCATGTTGTTGTCTCCTACGTAATGTAAGACATCCTTTCGTCTACGACACAGCAATTATCTCACAGAACAAAACAAACTGTTTGCAGACATTTGCTACTAGGTAACGTCTTGAATGCGGCAGCGCAATTTTGACCCACTTCGTTCACTGAAAACTCATTAGTCTACAGTCCCCGTGTGGGTTAAAGGGCCCCAATGTGGGGAAGAACAAGAATAGACCCATTGCCTCCCCAACAAGCATGTCATAGGAGTCAACTATTTGGGGACTTCCCTCGAAGTCGAAGTACATCTACCTGAGTTTCAAGGAACAACCAGCTGCTTACCAATAAGTCAGTAAAACGGATGTACACGCAAAACTCTGGTCCTGGCTCAAAACTAAAGTCCAAATGGACGAACAACCAGGACTTTCCGCAGAAATTTCAGCCGGTGAACAAAGAAGAAGAAGATGCATCATCATCATGTAACAGGTCCTTTGCAGAACGTCGCTCTCATTACAGTCTGCCTGAAATAAACTCGGTCTCTCGCCAGTTCTCCCGCCTCATGCACTTTCAAACTCAGGAGTCACTTATATCTGTGCCCATCTTCGTGTCGGTCGGCCCCTGCCCCTCCTTCCTGGTAGCATGCCTTCTGCTATAATTAGAAGAAGATTAGTTTATTAAAATATTAGTCCAGCATCATATGCTCTATTCACCACAGGCCTAAAATGGCTTCTTTTTTTCATTTACTTCTAACTTACCTGTATGCAACTACAGGTGATCCAGTTTCAGTAAATAAATCTAAGTAATGAATTAGCACCTATAAACAGAGATCTGTAATGCATGTTATATATATATATTTTTTTTTTCTTTCTAGAGAATGTCGGCCAAAGGAAAGAGAGTTTGCAACCGGACAGTGACGACGCCGGCTTCCCTAACCACATGGCTTTGTATGAGGTTCGTATAGTTTACGTACATAACATTGTATAGTTATTGGGATCTCTGTAATTGCTGTCTATGTGTTCTACTTGTGTCAGTCAATCAATCAGGTGCTGTCTCTGCAGTTAAGGTTGGCTGCAATGGTCTCTAGCTCGCACTGTCTCTTGCCCTGGTTGTACACTCTCTCAGACTGCTGCTTGTCCACCTCTTGATGTCCTCTCACTTGCATGGTTGCCAACTTTTTGCTGTCTTGCCTTTGAACTTTCCCTCCAAAATGGTTTTTAAAAGCATGTTATGTCTTTTAATGTGGCTTAAGTATTTCAATTGTATCTTTTTTATTTCATTCGAGAATTCTCTTTTTATTTGTAGTCTTTCCTGAACCTTTCTATGTGACTGTTTTTGTTTCCATAGAATGTGACCTTTTCTTCTAACTACCCACATTTATACCCTTATTCGCCCGGCTCTCTAGTGTAGTTAGTTAAACCTGACTTTCGCGGCGGCCGGGTGACGAACTCCTTGTGGTCCGAGTTCACTCCCGGGGGTAGGCAGAAAAGCCACATTTCTCCCAGATTAACGGTACCTATAATTAAATAAATGCCGATGGGTTGCGATATCCATCGTACTGAGCCAACGGGTTTACAATTCATGGTTTCTGGAAACTTTAAAAAAAAAAAAAAAACGTTCATTCCTCTTTTATAAGGATTTAGGAAAAGGGGAATCTCGAGCCTGAGGATTTAGGAACTCGTGGCTAGTAGTCACCACAATAAAAATAAATACTTCTATCACCTTTCTGAAGGTTCAAACCTGAGTCTCTCGCACGATAGCCTCTTGTCTTAGCCACTCATGCAGCAGTTCGTCTGGTACACTGTTTATAAGGTTGTTGCGTATCCTTTACAGGGCTGTTTGTGGTTTTTTCTAGTCAAATTTACGTCCAGTAGCTTGCCATTGCACTGGACGGTCGGCTATTTTGATACCAGTGTCGAAACCAACGCAAGGCGCATGTCCCGCAGCTGGGATCGAACCAAGCATCCCGGCAATACGAAGCGTTTGCATCAACTTAGCCACAGAGCCGACACACTGTCTATAGTTGAACGATTTCGAGAATTACATGCCCATGGGTAACTTTTGGCTCAGCCTTTCTTTGCTCGCTGATTGGCTCTCTCCAGTCATAAATATTGGGATTACTTTTTGGTCATCGGCATCGGCAAACGGGTCACCCATTGGCTCTCCAGTAGACGACTTCGTCGCCGGTATGGACAGTATTTGGGTCTGTCCGCTGCAGGAGTCCTTTTAGGGTTCTTGGTGGCGTGAAATGTTAAGCCAATTTATATAGCGCACACGTCGCAGCTATGGCGTCAGTCGTTTAGGCGTTGCAAGTCGGACTCGTAATTCTATAGTAAGTAAAGTAAAGTAAAGGTGCCTTTGAGCGTAGATGGCATATAGGGCTAACACTATATTTTATATAAACCAATCGGCACAAGGCTGGGTCGACCAGGAAGTCAAGGAATTCCAACGTACCGCGATAGAAACCCACTGCTGGCTGCGTACATTTTTATCATGGTATGGGGCGTCGTCGGTCGACCCAGCCTAAAATAGGTACCAGGATAGGCTGTCCTGGGGAAGTAAAGACGACCGGCGTAATGCTGACTACATTACCCACATAGTGCCGATGGTCTGTAAAAAGATGGGTGCTCTTCCTATGTGTCCTATGCCCCTAAAGGTGTGGAAAGGGATATTTACTTTTTTACTATTATTATTATAATCTAAGGCAGTGCTATTCAACTAAGTTTACTTAGAGGCCAACAATTTTGAAAATGTGAATTTTTACAGGCCAGAGGGCCGAGCCCAGCATAGATAGATTATTATTACAGTACAACTGCGGGCACTTGCTAGGCTTCCGCCTTCCAGATCTGGCCAGCAAGCCACCTCTTGAACAGCTCTGATCTAAACCTCTATATACCAATCGTATATTTAACATCTTTGAGGTTTGAGGTTTAAACAACGGATCAACATTATGGCACACGGGTAGTAACCTCTAAGTGCTGCGTTCTTCTTCTAACTTAAGTATGAGTTCAAAGAAGCTCAGCAGACTGCACAGTCTCTGTAGCACTGGCGAGGATCCTGAATTCTCGAGAGACCACGCAGCCCCATATTTCGAATATGTATAATGGATCCCCGCAATCAGTAAGAAGCAATTTTTTCTCTGGTTGTGGTGGTCGCTTCTAGTTCAATAATATTGTCCATCTTCATGAGTTCGATTAAATTATGTTTAAAATGTAATTATTATTCATCATCATCTGTACCAATCGTGTTATGCCATTCCACACGATCTCTAGAAACACAGAGCAGGTCTGTGTGTTGGATCTTGAAATCTCTTGTATCATGAAATATGTGTATAAAGGTCGGTGTCTGTGGCTTAGGCGTTGCAAGGACACTAAATAATGCTGCTGGTGCCATGTTCGATCCTTGCTGCGGTGCCATGTTCGATCCCTGCTGCGGTGCCATGTTCGATCCCTGCTGCGGTCGATCTGTTTTGCGTTGGTTTCGACAGTGGACGCGATGGCTGACCGTTCAGTTGGCAATGGCAAATTACTGGAAGTAAAGTTTGCCTAGAAAAATCACAAGTAAAAAAAATGCTAATGTTGGTTTTGCAATGTCCTGTAAATGATACGCAACTATATATATATATATATATAATAGTGAATATAGTTTTGCTTCAGTGCCACCGTATAGCAACACAATCGTCTGGAATGAAGGAAAGATACTAAACAAAAAATAAAATAGGTGACGGTTTTTTTTTTTTTTTTTTGTAATAAGGTGCTAGCCCCGGAGTTTGATAGTTGACACTTCATTGTTTCTGTGATCAAAGTGATGCCAGTCACTTATACATTTCGTGAATTGTCCTCGTACCAGTATTAATTTTGAACTCATTGTGGGGGGGGGGGAAGGGGGGGTGAGGGGGGAACTCTTTGCCAGCAATTAAAAGTGATTTGTTTTAACGATGTTTTTTTCCCCTCATAATTTCCAGGAGGATCTCACACACCAAGGCAAAATCTCGCAGATTCTCACGAGAATCACAGCTTACCAGGGAGGAGTTGCTCCAAACGTCAGCGAGGTAGATGCGGAGAAGCCTAAAGGAAAACCAGTAAGATCTTTTATAAACAAGTCACCTTTCTTATATATGAATTGTGGCGAAAGGAAACTAATTAAAGTCTTTTAGAAACAAGTTTTCTCTCTCCAAAATTTTTTAGACAAAAGGAAACAATTAAGGTCTTTTACGAGCTTTTCCTTTCTTCTCTATTTACTAGGCCGTAAGAAAACGAATAGGGTCATTTAGAAACATGACTCCTTTTTTCTATATTGAGTAGGCGAAAAGAAAACAAACAACGCATTTTATAACCTTTCCCTATAGATATTTAGTAGGCCAAAAGAAAACAAATAACGCATTTTATAACCTTTCCCTATAGATATTTAGTAGGTCGAAAGAAAACAAATAACGTATTTTATAACTTTTCCCTGTAGATATTTAGTAGGTCGAAAGAAGACGAATATGATCTTTTAGAAACAAATTTTCATTTTTCTATATGTTGTAGGGCAAAAGAAAACGAATACGGTCCTTTAGAAATAGGTTTTCTCTCTTCTACATTTAGCAGACTGAAAGAAAACGAATAAGATCTTTTATTTTAAAAAAAAAAAAGTTTCTTCCATTCTTTATCTCGCAGGTCGGGTAAAAATCAAAATAATATTAAAAATAGGGTCCACTACAGTCGAAAGGATACTAGAAAAATAAATTAACAACACAGCACAAATTATGACTGGCTTTAATTATTCATTTTTTTTTTTCGAATGGATTGACATCATGGAAGACATTGTGTATTCATTCACACAGGTCAACAGTAGCCAGTTTTAAACTGGATCATTATTCTTCCTCCTGACCCTTGACGACTGAGGTGTATGATGCTGATTAATAATATGAATGAAATCACTATAACCACTAATTGTCCGCGTGAATTCTGAGTCGTAGTGTTTCTCTTTGGGATGCAAGCAATAGCCAAGGAAGAAACAAGCCATTCTATACAGCAGTGGTTTTCAACTTTTCAAGTGGGGAGCCCTCCACCACGCAACAGAATATGTGACAACATCCACACGCCCTCTACCCCTTGAATCTATGACAAGACCCACACGCCCTTTCCTTCCTCACCTGACTTTCAAACAAAAAAATGTGCATAAGAAGCAAAACGAGTGAAATCGCAAGCGGTTAGGACAAGCACATAATTAAATGTGTCAACATAACGTTAGTCGGTTTTTGTTTCATATATAGTCTATGGACTATTTTATTTATAAATAAATAGGAAAAAAATAGTAAAAACGTTATGACAAGAAAAAAATGCAATGAGTTTCAAAATTCCATAACGCCCTTCTTGAAACTGTAGTGCACCGACTTATGGTGCACGCTCCCAAGTTGAAAACCACTTCTCTGTAGAATGGGACAACCAAATTAGGAGTCAAATTAAAAGGCTTTTAGAAGTAGCCACTGCTGGAAAAAAAAAAAGCTGTCGATAACAGCTCCTTTGGTGAAGTTCACGATTGTTAACATTTGTATGGCAGTAAGTACCGGTAGAAATAGGGTTGTTGAAATTGGTGATTTACATCTACAAAAGTGGGTGACGATTTAAAATCTATTTTCGTACTTCCGATTAAAAAAACCTGGCAAAAAATAGTGTATAGAGACTGCTACAGTTGATAGAATAAGCCACTTGTTTGAAGTAAGACAGAGGAAAAAAACTGTAAAAATAAGATGTGAACTAAAACTAGATGTTTAAGTGAAAAATATGAATTTGTTGAAACTGAAGCGCGCTAGCGCGCGCGCACACACACACACTCACATAAACTTCATTGCAGCTTGACAACATTAACCAAAAAAGTGATCGAAATAACTGTATTTGTGCTGTGCTGACTGCATAAAACAACATGTAACGTCCCAAAATGAAGCGAGATTAGGATGAGGAATGAAAAAAAAACATTGACAACAAATCTCTGCGATAAAGCAGACATAGGTAAAGGACCTTTCTCCCCGCTTTCAGACAGTTTGGGCATATAGGGCTGGACCTATATTTTATACACGGCCGAATCTTTTTATAAATACAGAAGGGTGTGTATTTTATAGACCAATTCACTCGTGTTGAATAATGTTGTCAGCATCACAACGGTTGCCTTTACGTCCGGGGACATTACCTGGTCGCCATTTTAGTCTGAGTCGACCTGGGAGCCAAGGTTAATCTTTTATAAAAAGTAAAAAAAAAAAAAAAAAAAAAGTAAAAAGAAGGTTAGAATGGATGGCATCGTGGCATTGGAGGAAACAAATTGGACAAAAATTTCAAAATTTAATAGGAAAAATACACACACTAAATAATTCCTCAGTGGCTCAAGTGTGTTACCTGTAAAGTTGAAATACCTCAATCTCACCCGTTTCTTTTAACCCCCCGAAGCTTATTCTCAAATATAAATAAACAAAACACCCCTGCACACCACCTCCTGTCTATCAATCTTTCTGTTGTGATTTATTTTTATAATTTGCCTTTTTGCCAGGTACCAAGACATGACGTTTGTGTTTTTTACCTTTTAATGTCATCTTTTCTCTTCATCCATTTTTTTTTTTTTTTTCAGCAAAAGGTAAGTCTCAGCTGAGGAAGAGATGGTAGGAAAATAGATGCACTCACATAGCAGTCTAACCAAGAAAATGGTGTAGAAGTGTACTATGAAACAGTAGTTTTATGTTTGTAACAGTAATGCTTGAAGTAACACAGTGTTGATTTTAAACGTAGACTATAGTAACGCATTAAGATTTGTGACATTTATGCCATTCTAACCACGAAAAAAAAACTTGCAGACTGACACTAATTAAACACTTTTATAAAATGTTTTTAACATAAATGTATGCAGTAACATAGGTTGATACTAACAGTACATTGTTCTGTAACTCACATTAAGTGTAAACTTAAAATAATTTTAACTGCAAGGATGTTATTTATTACTCTTAAAACTGAGTAAAATGTGTAAATTTGTATGAGTCACTGCTTGCATTAATATACGGTTCATATTAACAGTAAATTCCCCAGTAACCCACATTATATATAAAAAGGAAATAATTCTAACTAGTAGATTATTACTAATAAAACCGTGTAACATTTGTTATATTTGTAGCAGTTAATGTTTGTGGTAAAACAAAAGTAACAAAGGTTTAATTAAGATACAAATAATTCAAATTGTAATCAATAGAAGTTTGAGTAGCATGTTAAACATTTTATTACATAAATGTTTGTATTAACACCGCAAATTAATCAACATTTTACTTACATTTGCACTATAATAATTTTCTTAATGCGAAAGATTTACCACACAAATATTTAAAGTAATGTCTGTTTCTTTTACACCACTAGTACTTTGCTACATACTATGTAACTGTAAATTTTTTTATTTCTTATATAACATGTAATTTTAAATATATTGCTTTTTTAAATACTCTGTAATCATAAAAGTAATTATGTATCGGAGGTGACCTCTGTATGTATTGATTATAGTTTCATTAACGGCATATATTTATTACACATGTCTTTGTTTTACTATCACTATTATACGTGTAACTGCACTACTGTACATCTTCCGTAACTGCAATGGTCAAACCATGTTACATATGTTAAGATTATGTAGGTAGTAGTTTTTTTTTTTTTTTTTTTTTTTTTTTTTTTTAAATACGAGGTAATTTTAACAGTAATGCATTTTCTTTCAAAATTTTATATTTTTTGCCCATTTAGCACATTATTAAAATTATTATTATTGCACACTTAAACAAGACTTGCGACAAAATCATTTCAGTATTATGGTTACTAATTTTATAGTAAAGGAAGTAAGTAAAGAACTCGTTTCATACCTTCGGCGCCTAGTTCATACAATAAGTAAATGACTCTTTTCCGCGCCTTTGGGCGTTTTAAGCATATAGGGCTAGACGTATATTTCATAGACTAATCAGCATTTGTTGGGTGATATGATCAGCATCAAGCCGACCGGCTTTACTTCCCAGGACTGCACCTGGTACCCACTCAAAACTGTGTCGACCAAGAGCCTTGGTGATTAATGGGGAAAAAAATGTCCGGCTCCGTCAGGACCCGAACTCACGACCGCATGATCCGTAGGCAAGCGCCTAACTTCTACACCACGGTGACTTCCATAGTTCATACAATGCTAGAAGTATGTTTTAATAGATCAATATGCACTCTAGGGATGACATCATCAGTATCACGCCAGTCAGATTTTAGGCAGAGTCCATTTTGCAGCAAAGTTGTGTTTTTGAAACGAAAAGTACTTATCCGCTTCCTTGCGAGTTTAAACTCTAAACCAGGCATTTCAAAATGTGAACCCGCGGGCCCCGTGTGGCTCCATTGCAAGCTCACCTGCGGCCCGCAAAGAGGCAATATTCTGCACTCTTTTTTTTTTTTTTTTTTTTAATCAAAAGACTTGAATTAGTTTTTGTGAATGACGAAATTTGACCCATATGAACCCCAGGAGACCCTTAGTTCGACATGCCTGCTCTAGATCTTGTTTTCGAGAGGCGAACGTAAAATGTCACATTAATGCATGACACACGAAAATCACAATTGTAACTACAACTTTGTTTTAGTAATGTCACATAACAATGTGTTGTAGATGTGTCACATAACACTGTGTTGTAGATATGTCACATAACACTGTATTGTAGATGTGTCACAGAAAACCTGTAGTAGCACTTTTAGGATTGTGATAGTGATATTTCCAGTAACCCTCTCGGTGTTTGTAATAGTGCAATAGAAACATTACTTAACGGTAATACTTTCAGTGGCATGGATAACACGAGTGACAGAATAACACAGTGTAACGCATTGAATAGCACAAAAGAGGGAGGGGGAAATGCTAATATACTGGGCACATTTAAAGATATCTTCTTCTTCTTTTTCACGTTCACCGGCTCTAAACCCCGGCGGAAAGCTATGGTTGTTCGTCCATTTTTGGATTCTGTTCCAATGAGTGCTGCGTATGCACCCGTTTGACAGATCTGACTAATTTGTATGCAGTGTTGGTTCCTTGCCTCTCAGGCAGATGCACTCCGACTTCTAAGGAAGCTCCCAATTAGTCGACTCTTACGTCATGCTTTTGAGTAGGCAGTGGGTCTATTCGTGTTTTCCCTGCGTAACCTTTTTTTTTTAAACATTCTGACGAGACTTTTGCTTCGCAGACTGTCTGCTTATCAAACGGTGGTGGATATTTTGTGATTCTGTTTTTCTATACTTTATTTATGTACCACCTGTTCTTTTGTGCGTTTTCAGCAATATGGCTTGGCGTGGCTGCATTTCCTTTCAGTCTGACACACCTTGCACGCGTGTTTGTTTATAGCTTTCAACTTTTGTAGTTTTGGAGAGGTTCTGGAAGATATTCCTTCTGAGGGAAAACATGCGTTGACCACTGAAGAAGTCGATGGGGCATGTGTTAGAGGAACCTTGAAGAAAACGAATGAGAACATTGTAATTCCCCCAAAGCCTAAATTGGTGAAAAGGGAGGTAATAAAGGAGAGGTCGAAAAGATGTTCTAATGTCGCTGGTGTACGCTACTTTATGCTCTGCAAAAACAGCCGCTTAAACAAAATCAAGATGTAAACCCGCATCTGCACCAGGACAAGGCGCACATGATTGGAATATAACGTGCAGCTCGTTGAGTATTTATGGCATAAATTGAGTCTCAGCCAACTCTGTTATGGATTGAAAACTCGGCAGTTCCGTGAAGCTGCATTTTAAGAGAACGACGATGGCTGATACATGTAAGTTTCTGTCAAGCTTTGAAGGAGAGCCTCATTAAAGGCATTTGCATTTTGGTGCATGCGTAAACCATTTGTGATGGATCGATCAATCAGTCATGTGCTGTCACTACAAAGACGGTTTACTGCATCAGGGATTTGCAACATTCACTTGTTTCAAATCATGGTTGTACACCCTCTCAGACTGCTGTTCGTTCATCTCTTGGTGTTATTCTCCATTTTATATCATTGGCTACCTTTTCTTCGTCTGCCTTGAAATATTCTTCTTTCTAGTAATTGCTTTAAGGCAATTTTACATTCATTAGTTAGTGATTGACTTTTCGACTATTTCAGCCGCTCATTTCGTTAAAATCAACACACAATGCTCCGCTATCAAAACATGTGCGCATGACTGAACCTAGGTAACACAGGACTGTGAAACTATTTTCGCAACCTTTAGGCAGCAGAATCCGACGTTTTTAGTATAGATAGAACAAAATGTTTTCCATGCACTTTCTCGTTCCTGCCTAATGCTTTTTATTGTTTCGCCCTCTCTGCACTTGAGCATGCCGGGAAAAGAAGGAAACTCCACATCAGGAGCATGCACTGCAGGAGTCTACCAATCATCAGCGAACTAATAAATTGCTTGTGTCTAGACACATACCAAAAGTAGAAACCTCGCCACATGACAAAAACATTTGGCTTCTCAAAAGAGAGATATTGAAAACACCTGTTTCTCACAACAGTGATATGCTTGCATATACCAGCTCTTCCGTCATGCACAACAATAGTTGGCATGGTGCAAAAGAGGTGTTTTTGTCTTTCTGTGAGGAAGGATTGAGCTGCTGGATGCCTGCACTGATAGACATGCAGGTGGTAATTACATCTTGGCTGTGATGGTCATGAAAACAGAAGTTTCTTCCATGACAGGATGCGCATGCAATCTTATGCATTCGTGTCGTTGAAATCCATCTTCACATGTGGAAACCTACCGTAGATACCTGACCTCTCCCAAAAACGTTTGTCTCAGGGGTTCTCTTTGGACATCTACGTTTTCTGAATTAACTGTTTCCCATTTCAGTGCCTGTTTAACCCTTCCCTGCCGGCTACTGCTCATGATATGCCCAGTGTATTGCAATCTGTATTTCCCATAACGTTGACACATCAGGTGACGGCCAGGAATGATTTGATAGTAGTCAGATTTATGTTAGTATGTATGTTGTGGGGGAACAAGTTATGACAGTTTAAAATCCCCTTTTATAGTTGCCTATCCGTTACAGGGCGTTGGAGAACCAACCCCAGCATTTATTGGCTGTTGTGGTTTTTCTGTGCACATTTTATGTTCAGTAGTTTGCCACTGCCTCTGAACGGTCAGCTCTCAGTACCACTGTCGAAACCAGCTCAAGACAGATCGTCCGCAGCAGGGGTCGAATCCGGCGACCCGGCATTACGAAGCGCTTTCGTGACGCCTAAACCACACACACTGATCCTTTCTATGAAGTAAACGTTTTCCCTCTTAAGGCAGCTAATGTTTGGGTCGTTAGAACTGAACTAATGACAATATCGAAAAAAGAAACCTACTAACTTTTGGTATAGAATGAGTTAACGTTACTTTTCCTCATCATCATCATCATCTTCAAACGCCTTGCCGACTGGCATGGGCGATCATGACACTCCATATTCTGCGATCTCCAGTAGCATGTATCACTCGTGTACTGACACCTCTAACTGGCATGACACAAAAGTGTGTCGAGAATCCTTCCGCATTGTCTTCCTCTCTCTCTGGTTTTTCCACAGTTTATTTTAGTAGTCAGAAAACGTTCCAGTTTACTTATTCTCCTAACATGAC